CGTAAAACCTAAACGTTAACCGTAACCTTAAACCTTAAACGTAAGAAATAAGTAAGTAAAGTAAAGAAAGAGTGGTGACACACTATATATACACACACACACACACACACACACACACACACACACACACACACACACACAATGGAGCACTACTCAGCCATAAATTTTTTTTTGCCATTTGCAGCAACATGGATGGACTTGGAGGACACTATGCTAAGTGAAGTAAGTCAGACAGGGGAAGACAAATACTGTATGATATCATTTATGTATAGAATCTAAAAAATGACAACAAACTAGTGAATATAACCAAAAAAAGAAGCAGACTCACAGATCTAGGGAACAAACTAGTGGTTACCAGTGGAGGGTGGGGAGGGGCAACGTAGGGGTTGGGGAGAGGAAGGTACAGGCTCTTGGGTGTAAGATAAGCTCAAGGATGTATTGTATGACACGGAGAGTATAGCCAATAATTTTGTAATAGCTGTAAATGGAAAGTCACCTTTAAAAATTACATAAAAATTTAAAAAATAAAGTCAAGAAAAAGAGATCATAAAACAGACTGGTAATTCAGGGCTCTGTGATGACTAAAGTCTCATCTTTCTAACATCTCTGCTTTCAGATTGCCTGTTTGGTACCTGTGGATCAGTTTCAGCTTTATCAGCGGTTAAAGTTTGAACGAGGTATGTATGCTCTCTGCTTTTGATCCTGATGGCGAGTGTGTTTTTTATATGTGTCCTCTTCACACTAACCTGCGTGGACGATCAAGGCAGCTGTGGGCTGTCAGCAAAGCCACAAGGGTACTCAGAAAAAAGAAAACTGTAATGGCAACATAAACTTTCAACTTTCTCAGCCACAGCCAGAAAAAAATGCAGACGAGCAGGAAATAGAGCTTTCCTTATGCTGGCTGTTTTTGTATTTTTAATTCGGCTCATGTGAGAGCAGTTCTGCAGAAGTTGAATAGTTTCACAATAACAGTATGACAGAAAGACGTGAACCTCAAAATGGGTTTTACCGCCAGTTTTCCTTCTCTTGAAGATGATTTCAAAACCTTAATCCACCCAAACATTTTTACTGCTCATTGTAATAGTCACCCCGTTTGTTCTTCTGATCCTACACTTGTGATTACAGTGATGGCTGAGTCTGTCACCCTAATGCTGTTTACAGTGTATAGAACTACTGTCTGACTTTGGACTTGGGGTAGTTTATATAGCTTTTCTATTTATATTGCCTTTTTATCTGTAGGAATTATTTTTTGGTGTGTTTTTCCATACCTGGTAAGTAGGAGAAAATTGTTTCCCCTGGAATTCATCAGACTGGTGTAGCCTCGTCGAGTATGTAACATAAACTGTAACCTAGCATGAGCATACAATTTTCTGACTGCTAGCTTTTTAATTGGGATTAATAAAGTCTAGAGATGAGAGGGTAGGGGAAGAAATGAACATGTATCTGTCATGTGCCAGGAAATTTGGTAAGCACAATTACCTTCATCTCATTTAACTTTTGCAATTACCCTGACACGAATAAAGAAAGAAAATCATGCAAAGCATAAAGTGGGGAAGAGTTAGGAGTGTTTGCAGGGGATGGTATTTGCTACCTATGACCACAGTTTGGTTCAGTCTCATAGGCTTTTTATTTTTAGCAAGCCAAAAGCAGCTTCATCTCTCATAAGCAGATCATTTAACTGAATTTTTAAGGCTGATATATTAAGGTGAAGTTCACGAAAAAATTCCTGGGTTACGTTACCTGAATTGCATGGTTGCCCTGTAGAAACATGCAAACAGGATGCTGTTGAACATGGAATCAGAACCAGCAGAGTCAGATGAATTTCAGGTTTCCAATGGATGAAGCATAGCCTGATACCCTGTCCTGTGTGGATTCCGAGCCAACTAGAGGGATTAATGGTGCGGTAGTTTATATTGGACCCCCCGATCCTTCCATGTGGGCTGATTAGATTGGACATTATAACACATCAGATGCTGATTAATGGGGTCAAACATCTGCCCTGCCATTCTCCCACTTTATCCCAATATCCTCTCATATAAAAATAAATCACTGCTGGAACTTAGACATTCACCCTGTGGATGGATGTGGCTGGTAGCCAGTGCCATGATGTGAGGGCTTCTTACCTGGAGAAAGTCAAAGGAGTTAGGTTGAATTTTCAGACTTCTTCTTAAGCGGTCAGACCTGTCAGTCCCACCAGTCCCACTCAGTAACCAGGGCTCAGCCATTTACAGCGTTCTGTTGCCCCAGATGCTCCTCTGGTCCTCCATGACCACCGACCTCGTCCCCACCCACCTGTTTCCCCATCTGTCCAGTAGCAGGCCTTATTCATCATTGTTTCTGGACGTTTTATTAGCTAAAAATTTCTTTTTTTTTTGTAATTGATTCTAATTAATGTCTGATTCTAATTAGACAAATTCTAGTAGTATGGTGCTACACAATGCAGTTTACTTGATTGGGATGATCTTTATCTAAATTGTATACCTCATTTTTAAATGATAGACTTCATGCCCACCTCAAACTCAAAACTTACCAGTGAGGTGAGTGTGAGGGCTATGTCGGGAAAATATTTTGTGTGTTACTATTTAAAAGGGGATCTTGGGATGTTATCAAATAATAATATTATGAATGGGTTAAGTAACTACTGGTGGAAAGTGAAACTCATTGACTGGACTCTGGGGCAGAACTGGAGAGGTTGTTTTTACTCTGAGAAAATGTAGAATCAGGTAAGTGGCAGCTCCTCTATCTTAGGAAGAAAAATTATCATTGGTTTTGTTCAATTCGTATTGCTACCAAGTTCTTTTCTCAGTTTTTAGTTTGCCATCCAGTGTTTTAATTTTCCTGTGACATGTTTGATTAGCTTGTCTTTTACGTCTTTGTTTTCATCTACGTCTTTGAGGGGAAAATCTTTTGAATAGGAATGGTCCAAAATCATCACTCTGTTTACGCAAATCAGAGAAGTGCCATTTGGCATTGATTGGTTAGTCTATGAATTCACTTTCCGTCCATCTGTGATTTTTCCATTGGCTACTGCTGTGTTTGTAGATTTTCCTTTCTGGGTCTGTCTTCCAATATTAACAAAGAAAAGGGAGTACTGAGTTTGACATGTGTTCATGATTATTGCTTTACTTTCTACTGGTTCTCAAAGCATATGTCTGATGATTAAGGTTAGAATTTTATTTGTCTCTTGTTTCCAGAACCTACTTTCTCTAATTTTTTTTTTAAACTGGGTTAAGATTATCCATCTCTAGTCCTTAAACACTTTTTCTAATTTTTGTGACCCTTTTAACTTACTGTGACTGCAAGTTGCTTCAGTTCCTTGGCAGGTTAATGTGTCTGTTCTTGGATATTTGTATTATCATATAGTGGCTGGAAACTCTTACAAATGGTGTACGTGCCATTATTGTTCTCCTTCATAAAAAGGTGACTGCAATAGGAATTTGTTTTCCTGTTATCACCTGTGAATCCTACTGCCTTCACTGGTATATTCAGTATATAAGTCATGTATGTACTGAGTATCTGTTACGTGCCAGGGGCAGTTCCAGGGGTGGCTTCAAGCTGTGGTTCCCTCTTTCTTTGAAAGCTCTTTTGTCCTCAGCAGTTTTCACCAGCCTCCTTTCATTTGGAGTCTTCACATTTATGAGACGGCTCTTCAAATTTCACCTCGCTCTTGTGTTTGTCCTGGGTGAAATGCTCCCACTCCACCTTTGGTATCTGATTATTCAAGTCTTACCTCACCAGAGCTCCCTGTATAGCTATTTGGCTTCTTTTAGTGTTTTTTTTTTCTTTTTAAGGCTGCATGACACTAAATGACTTTATCATCAGTTCAGCTTTATTTTTTTAACATCTCCCACCTCTCATTAGTCACCTTCCTTTTCGTAGTTTCTGATCACAAGTTTAGTCTTATCATCTCTGTGTGTACGTGTGTGTGCAGGCGCACTTTTTTTTTGAGCCTGATTTTCTGGTGTTTTGTGGTAAATGTATGACAAGTGTAGGGTTTCCTTCTCAAGCTACTCTGTGCTTTCGGATGATAACACTTTCTCCTCCACTTCTCAACTTCTTCAACTTAACCATCCAGTTTTTTTTTGTTGACCACATTTAAATCTACAACAGCACCCTCTAGATGTTTCCATAGCTCTCCTAAACTGAAATGTCTGCAAAAAAAGACATCTAATAGCAAGTTAGGTGATATTTCTAAAGGGGTCCTGAATTAGAGGCACAATGTTAAGTGTTTGCTTCTTCCTGTCTGTGCTTCCATTTCCTCATCTATAAAATGGGGACAGTAAAGGAATGATTGTCCTCAGGCTGTTGTGGAGAATAAATGAGTTAATACTGAGGTTGTCACAGTGTGCATTCAATAAACTGTTACTATCATTATTGTTATTTTTGTCATTGTTGTTCAGCACTTCCACCACCAAATCATGTCCCTGGTTTTTTAAACTAAACTAAGAAAGCATCTTCCAGAATCTAGATAGTACCTGGGACTGAATGCACAGTAATATCACTCCGTTTTCTTTTCTTCTTAATGCAAATATTTTTCACTCTGTTTCCATCCTTACTGTTCTAGATTCTGGAGAGTTGTATAGAAACTTGATAATCAGTACAAATTTCTTATACCTCTATCATATCAGTTTCCTTCATACAGTGTATTCTCTTTTTTTTTTTCCTGCTTTATTGAAGCTATTTTATTTTGAAGGGTGGTAATTAGGTTGATTGATTGATTGAAATACTGGGGATTGAACCCAGAACGTTGTGCATGCTAAGCATGTACTCTACCATGGAGCTATAGCCTCCCCTGCCCATACAGTGTATTCTCACCCAAAGCATGAATCCACCTTCTGTGACCATCTCCGAGGAGATCATGACTTGCCGAGATGAAGTGTTTGAAGTTGCTCCTTAAAGAGAAAAGATTTTCATGATGATAAGGGTTTTATAGTCTATTTAATGATGTGATTGTATTTCTACAAAAATAGTGGTATTCTAAGAGTAAAAAAAGCCTGATTCCATTATACTCTCATTAACCATGAGTTATGCAAACTCCTGACTTTGATTGGTCTCAATATAACAGTGTTACACTAGATAATCTCAAAATTTGTTGCCAAGTTTGAAATTCTGTGGTTCTCGTCCATTATCTTAAGAGCATCCCCTCTGCTGATGGCCACCTCTGTTTGGGTGTGTTTACTGTAGCAGATGTTAATTCCAATCAGTTTGGTTTAATTGCATTTTAAGTATCTGCAGAAGACCTTTGTTCTTTGAGATAGCAGAAAGCCAATTAATTTTGGCATACTTAAAAATGCAGCAGGTCATAAAAGTTAAAACAGTTTGAATTATTTTGGCTGATAATCAAATTAGCTTGAGTGCATGGTGTTTCCCGCAGTAATAAAAATGCATACAATGTCTTTTTTTGGCACAGCCTCACAATGGTTGAAGATAGCAGAAAAGCCACTCATGTTAGCTGAGAGAATATATAACAGGATTAAAAAGCAATCTCCCCATGTCTAATGCTGATAGTTTCAGGTGGGAAAACCCAGTCTTGAGTTCAGTTTTTGAAAACTGAAAACAATTATTGGGGTCAGACGTGGTCTTTAGGTGTCATGGCAGTTTTATTTTCTTAGAATGTTTCTATTTCCTAATAATCGTCAGAGTACAGAATTAGAAAATAGTTTTAAACAGCACTTCCTGCCTTGCATAATTTACATGAACAAGCAGAGTCTGGGGATCAGATAGTCTTGGGGCTTTACTTCAGAAATCAATTCTAATTTTCATAAGTAAATTCCAGTTCAAGTCTGTGACTTCGTCTGTCTCTGATATAAGTATGTTCCAGTTAATCACTTTTAAATCATGTTCAGAGTAAAGTGTTGGGGGCACTATTCTCTTTTTCTAGGTTTCTTAGCTTTTCGCCACCTCAGAGCTACAGGAAGCTTTCATCACTGCTGATACAGAAGAAATGAGCTGAATATGCATTGGGGTTTTTTTTGGGTTTTTTTCCCGTAATTTTGAATAGAAATTGGAAGGAGGAAGGAACTAATAACCCTTAAGAGTTTGGGATAAGTGTGCATTTTGTTTATCAACATTATAACTGTGTTTCTCAGGCCACAAGCCAGGAGGTGGAATTGAATTCACAATGATAGTAACAAAAAGTGTTTTAGAAAGTCTCCCATTAACCCTGGGGGCTCTCCTTCCCTTCAGACTCCTCTCAGATAATTGGTGTGGAGGGGAGAGCGAGGAGAAGGCGGCCCTGGCTCATGTGACAGTGATTTGGCTACCACCTGGTGTCCACTCATCTGTTCCTTTTTAGCTTGGGTTCTGGAAGTCCTGTTGGCTGCCAATGTCTGATGCCTCTTCAGCGTTTTTCCCTTTTCTACCAATCTGACTTCAGGCCCCACTTGTGGTACACTCTGGTACCTGAGATATATAAAGCAAAATTGTGCTCTTAATGGCCTATCGGAGTTATAATTTTAAAAAAGCGAAACAACTCTTAGCTTCTGTTGACTTTCACTGGGAGCTGCTCTTCTGGGAGCTGGACTGAAGGGCAGTCAGAAGGGCAGATGCCATGTTTTGCTCAGTTACCTTTTCAGGGTAACATGGCCAGGCGTGGATGTCCGGACCCCTCTTCCAGTTGAGGGAAGCTGTTCTCCAAGAGACTCCAAGACGCCCTGTACAAAAATCTCTGTGGGTAGTTGTTTCTGTTCTCTGGAAATGCCTGAATGCAGGGCTGAGCAATAGAGAACCTTGCCACCAAAGCTATCTTTTTTTTTTTTAACCATCGGGAATTGATCTATGGATACCATTTCTTTCTTTTTCTTTTTTCTGTTTTTTCATAGATGCCATTTCTTATACTTCTATTGCTTCATTCATTTATTCAATGAATACTATGTTCCAGGCACCTTTCTAGGTCATTGTGGTCAACTGGGATGACAGTATCCAGCTGAATCTCTACCAGGAAATCTTGACAGTGTCACCTTCAAAATACGCTCTGAATTCTCAGTATTTCCACTTCTAATGTGGGTCGTCTTGATTGGGTGTACCATCTTGGATTAGATCAGTACAATAGCCTTCTAGTTGATCTCTCTGCTGCTACTTTGTTCTGCTACCATCTATTTTTTTTTCCTACAGCAGCCAGAATAATCTTTTAAAAATGGAAATCATAGCACAGCACTCCCCTAATCAAGATGGCCCTCCCCTGCAATGGTGTCTCATTACCTGTGAGCCTTATCATCGTGATCTGCCTTCAGGCCCTTGGTGACTATTCCCAGATAATCTCCTGGGGACTCTTCCCTCTGCTCACTTAGCACCTTGTAAAATTGGCCTGCCTTATTACACGGGTAAATCTCTTCTTTGGCATTATTGGGATACAAGTTGGAAATCTGTGGCTGCTGATTCATGGCTCTGATTTATAGACTTAAATGTGATGATTAAAAATGCACAGCTATGAAAAAAAAAACCCTCAAAAGTAGAACTAATGTTTGCTCAGTGTCATCTGGTTCTTACAAATGTAACAGTTCCAAAGGCTTATCTTTCCCAATTCTAACCAAATTAATAGTTACCCGGTTGAAAGAGTAGGAAGTGTGCATTTGAGCTGAGGGGTCTCTGTCATGAATCAAAAACAGAGAAGTCAGAGAGAAAAACAAGTGAAAGAAATATTCTCTAGAGACGCCAATGTACCTATTCTTCTCATTCAAAAATAACAGAACTCATGAATTTCTATAGAAGACTTACGTATGGCTATTTGACGATAAGGGCTAAATCTTCAGTCTTGTCTGTAGCTCCAGTAAGAAGAATTGAGTCACTACTCCTTTGAATACTCCATTCTTAACTCCTTGTTAACTAACTTTGCTCCTTACTTTAACATAGAAATATAAAACTGGAGAGGACTTGCACGAATTTGGCTAGATCACTCCCCACCTCCTCCCCCGTCCTCTTCCCACCAGAATAGCCATTTACTCTGCCTTTAATGGTTTATCAAGAGAACGGTAGCAGACCTCCCTTGGCAAGTATCTTTAACGTAACCAGAGCAGTATTTAAAAGATGTAGGACAAGCTCAAGCATCTGTATTGAAAATCTGTGCTTCCAAACAAAAGTTACATGAACAAATGATACCGTATTGCTACTGTGGGTGCCTCCTGTATTGATGGACTTTGCTTCAGGCTTTAATCATGTGAGATTCTAACTAGCAGAGCTTTCTTTTTATTTAAATTATTTTAGAAGGTGGCTGATGGGAGAAGGGGTCCGTTTGAGAGAAGTAATTGGTTTAAATCAGTAGATATTTGGTTTCTCTTGTCTCCCCTGACCCTCTGCATTTATAAAGGGAAATTTTTTGATCCGCTAGAGTGGACGGGAATATCCTGATGCATCCCATCTGATTGATGCTGATTGTCTTAGTGGTGGGGTGCTTGAAACCCTGGTGGGGAGATCCAGAGACACCTCCTTGTGACGTGCTGTGCTTCTAAGTGCAAAACCTAAGCCTGCCTTCTAGGGTGGCCTCCCTGGGGTTGAAGATCCCAGACAGACATGCAAGAGCAGTTAATGAACAGTAAACTAGAATATATAACCAAAAACCAGATACTCTTTAGAAGAAGCTAAATACACATGTGAGTGTGACTTCTAGGATAAAGACCTGACTGTATATAGGATGCTCAGGAAGCAGGAAAAGTTGATCAGCAAGTATGGTTGAAAGAACCACCTCTTCTAGTTTGGACTTCTCTTCTTTTTGTGCTGTGTGAATTCTGTTCTTCCCTTTCCCACTATGTGCTCCACACTTGTCTGTGCCAGCATTGGTTTTAGATATTTATGCGTTCACTCTCAATTTGACTTGCGTTCAGTGATGTGTTGGTAAACAGATTTTTGAGGGGGTGGGGGTCGGGAGAGGAGGCTTTTGATTTATAGTGTTTGCCAGTTTCCGGGGTGTAAATACTTCCACTGTGGCCAATTTCCAGCAGCCCGTGTGACGTCGCTGAACGAGGAGTTGGAAAGAATGTGGGGGGTTCTTGTGAGTCAGCAAGAGCCCACTCCTAGACGTGACTTCTGGTGTCCTTGCTCAGCATTTCCTTTAAGTACAGAAGGAGACTCATCTTTTATTTTTATGCCTTCCAAACTCTGGCTGCCTACAGCGTTGCTGTTCCAAGGTTTTTCATTTTTCTTTAATCTCTGTTTATGTGGCGCTGTAGCTCTTTCTAACTTAATCTCCTTGTGTTTCATCTCAGCATGTGTCATCTGCTGTGTGCTGCCATGCGGAGGGACTAGTTTTACCTCCTGATTCTAGAGCTGATTAAAAGGGGAAACTTTATTGTGGATGCTTGGACAAAAAAAAAGCATAAAAAGCTTTCTGTATATTAAAATGTTTCTGTATTTTAAAAGCTTTCTCACTTCCATCCCCTAAGATCTGCTCACAGATGTTTGTTATTGATTTTATTTTTGTTATCTTGCGAGATGGTCTGCTGGTTATCACATGGCCTATTCCATGAGTACCTGCTCTAAGAAGTGTGGCAGGGCTGAGTGACCTCGTAGGTTTGGATCCGTCTTGGAGACCAACAGTAGAAATCACCACCCTTGGTTGTACTACGCTTCCATAAATATTGGCTTATAAAAGAGAATAAATGGAGGGGAGAAATCTTCAAGCTTGAATGAAAGGCAGTAGACCATCACATTTTCTTTCTTTACGCTTTAGAAGTTCACCTGGACCCGTACAGAACATGGTGTCCCGTGGCAGACTGTCAGACGGTGTGCCCTGTTGCATCGAGTGACCCAGGACAGCCTGTGCTGGTGGAGTGCCCTTCTTGTCACCTGAAGTTCTGCTCCTGCTGCAAGGACACTTGGCATGCAGGGGTCTCCTGCAGAGATGGTCAGCCGATCGTCCTGTCAACAGAGCACGGGTAAGAAAGGAGACTTTGTCCTTGGGATGGTCCACTAGTGTTCTTAGAAGTATGTTGCTTGGAGGAGGTGTAATCTTGGGATGGGATTTCAAGATTAGTTGTTTCCCTGCAGAAGTATCTCAGAATTGGTAAGTTGTTAACAAAGAAAATAACCCAATAAGCATTTCTAACGGGATTTTAATTATTTACCCCTGCACCCCACCCAGAGACTCTTTCAGATATTGCTGAAGTTGGCATTTGTATGAGTTTTGATTTCTCTTGAGGTAGGGAGGCATGCGGTCCCCTGGTTCTGAGTGGGACGGCGTGGCTTGTCCATGGCTGTTTACTTCGGTTCCATAACCACCTGCAACTGATAAGCCTCGTACCTCCCGCTTACGAAGTGGTGCAGAAATGATTTCTTCCCCTGACTAAATTGCTGGCTTGTTAGGTGTCCAGTCGTATCAAAAAGAACACAGCGGTGGAAAGAACAGCCCTTTCGGTGTAGCATGCTGCTAAAATTCATGTGTGCTAGAGGAAAAGAGCTGATCTTTCAATAGTTTATGCTCTGAAAACACGGTGCCGGGGTTGAGATTTTGTTATGATGAGAAGCAGTTCACCCTGTACCTTGCAGGGTGGAGGGTTTTTTATGGCAACAGCAGGGCCCGGGGTGAGAGACCTCTGTGTTTGATCCCTTGCTGTGCTTGGGGCTGTGGCTGGTGTGGCATCAGCAAGCATCGGAACACCAGCGCTGTACGTCCAGTTGGCTCAATCACCCAGCGCCCTCGGAGTGCATGGAGCCAGTCTCCGGGGACAGTGATGCTAGCTGGCTGTGACGCTGCGCTTGAATCGCCAACCGAACAAATCACGAGGGGAGAAAGATCCAACCCACGTGGCAGGCGTGTGCCCGCCTAACCCGTACCTGCTGCATTTTCACTGCTGTGGCAGGACGGTTCCCGGGTATCACAGGATGAGGGAAAGATCCCAGAGGAAGGAAGCACTGAGTTCTGACATTGTCACTTGGCATCTGGTGCACTCGTGCAAGTCTCTCGGCCTGCAGGAGTCTATTTCTCTGTTTGCTGGGGGAGGGGAAGGAGGAATGAAAATGGTAGCTGTCCCACTGCCACATAAGGTTACTGTGAGCGCCACATCCGATCATAGGTTTGACAGCACTCTGTGAACTTGGTGTCTCCGTGTGCTGCCTGGTGGTTTTGGTGAATAGCAGCTAAAATGCAACCCGGTGCCAACCAAGGCTCACCTGGCCCTCCCTCCCCTCAATTTGTGCTGCTGCTTTTCTGTGCCCCTTGAGCCTGGGAGCCTTGCTGGCCTGTTCACCTGTTTGGAGCCGGTCTCTTCAATGACGTGAGGCATTTATTTTAAAGCACGGATAGTTGACTCCCACCAGTCCCCTCCGTTTGTTTGTGCGGACAGATTGTTAGATGGATGATCTCTGCCCTCGTCAGATCCCGAGCTATTTTCCTGCTTTGTGGCAGGCTTCTTGTCCTTTTTTATTCTGGGTGTGCTCAGGGAACAAAAGACTAATTTGGCAAAACAATGAATTCAATCAGCTGTGGAAAATACAATTATGTAATTGACTCAAAGCCAAAGATAAATAAATTAAGGTTCTTTTTTTGTTTTGAGGGATCTGAACAACTCATAATCTGTGTCCCTCCTGTTTTTACCCCCACCCTTTCCCTTGGAAGTGAATTAAGCACAGAGAGTGAAGAGTTCACTCCCTACCCATCAGGACCCCTGGGAACTCAGTTGATGACCATAGAGTTGAGTCTAGAAGAGCGTTATTTAACTGTTTAATTAATTATACTCAGCCCACTTCCTCCATAGCTCTGGTTAATGTACACCTTGTGGTCTGTGCTTTTTGAGAAATCAGACAGCATTCTCAATCCCTACCCTATAATTTCTCCTTCCTCTTGTTTCGAGGCCCCTCTTCGGGACAGAGGCAGAAGCCCCCATTAAGCAGTGCCCAGTGTGCCGGGTTTACATCGAACGCAACGAAGGCTGCGCTCAGATGATGTGTAAGAACTGCAAGCATACGTTTTGCTGGTACTGCCTCCAGAACCTGGACGTAAGTTCACTTGGAAGAGCCTCCTCGTGTGATCTGGTCTTTCTTTGCACTGTATCTGCAGCAGCCAGGATCCCACGGGCTTTCCTTTTAAAACACTGAGCCCAGGAGGGGAAGGTATAGCTCAGT